TATAAGATATCATAAAAATTAATTAAATTCAGAAATAACTAAATAAACATATTTGACAAAAAGTCAAATTTAAAATATTAAAATTGTAAACTAAATTGAAATTTTTAATTACTTTTTTATTGATTAAGATAAATGACAATAATTAAAAAAAATATATTAATAATATGAATATTGCACTACTCATCGGTATATAAAAATAATGCATCCTTATGTAATTTAAATACAAATTTCCTTATTCAAATTGATGAAATAGATTATTGGCATATTTTGCACTCAATAGTCAATTAAAATCTTAGTAATGGCCAAATGATAAAAATACAAAGCACAAGATTTTATCCATTGATCTTATTATATTAAGATTTATTATGTATAACGGCTATGTTAATTTTGATGAAAATATTTTTAACTAAATTCTAGGTACTTTAAATAAAAAGCATTAGAAAATAAATTCTAGTTGATTTTAAATTGAATAATAAGCTGATTTTAATTAAGAAGATGTACTTATACTTTATAGATTTTAGCTTTTGGTAATGTTTATTATAATGAATAATAAATTAAGAGATAACTTTTTTAGATTAGGATATAATCTTTTATTTTTATTCGATCTCTCAATCAATAGTGTTCAAATTTTAGACTAATTTGCTTAAGATTTTGTATCACTACTCTCATTGATAAAATGACCGAAAAGAAGAATTAAATTCGTAGAAGGATACGTATTAGATCTTAACAAACTTCATGTAAACTAAGCAGATAGTAATTACTTGTTTTTTGAATTAAAGAATTGGATCTCCATTCCGTAATTTTTCTCTCTCTAATCGTGTAAATTATCTTTATGACAAATGCTATTGAATATTTTAATTTTTATGTGAAATGAGTTTCAAGAATATAAGAAATCAATCTTGACAAAGAATTAAAAAAAATTTATCTAATAAATCTTAATTTGAAATAGTAAATTTCTTGTAATGACCAAAGAAATATTATATTTAAACTAAAAAACGATTGTCTATTTTAATCGAATGAATAATGATATAATTATTCTTAATATTTTTATAGATTGAATATTCACTTATTCAATTTCCTTTAGCAAAATTTTAATTTAATAAATTAAGCATACCCTTTTCGTTTTTTGTATATTGATTATTTGGATCAATCTTTAATGATTTCAAATAATAAATTAGAGCTTCTTTATATTTCTATAAATTTCTTATATAAAATGAAATTGTTTCAATATCAACAATCTCCTAACAAATAAAAAGATATGATACCTTTACGATTAAGAGAAAATGTATTTTTTGCATTGGTGGACAGTACTTAATCAAGTAATTATTAAGATTCATTATGTTTTTTCAGTAATCTTAAGCATTAACCTATCAATGTACTTATTATTTAATCTACCGTTCTCATTTAAGGAATTAACATGTTTAAGATCAATAGATAATGCTTTATCTAACCAAGTGATTGCATCGTCATTTTTGATTTAATTTTCTTACACTTACACTTATTAATATAATTATCAATCAATTTACCTTCATCAAATAAGGAATTAACATACTTAGGATCAATAATCAATGCTTGGTCCAACCAAACGATTGGATCCTCATAATTATTTAAGAATCTTAAACATCCACCTATTAATTATCTAAAATTTGACCTTTACATCATAGAGATTAATGGTTATTATGATTATATTGTATTGATTTATCGAATAGTGATATCGCTTTTTTATATTTTTATCTCAAAAATATATTAAATATGGTTATATGATTTGCCCTTTAAATAATAGCCTAAGGATTAATATGATATGATTACATTTATCAGAGAACTCTTTAGACAATTTTATAGAATTATCATCAATCTAATAATAATTGAATTATGATACTTATAACTTTTCATATAAATTATTCAATTTATAACAATGAATTTGTTGGTTGAAATAATTTATTTACAATGAATTCAAATTTAATAATCTCTCATTTTATAATGAATATTTATATCTGATTACCATTTTTAATAAAGAAAATGATTAATTCAAACTGTCTATATATGTATTAATACCATTAATCAAATTATCAAATTCCATATTTTTCCTTTTAATAAAATCCATCAAAGTATTAATTTTTTTCAATTTCATAAAGATGATCATGATGAATTCTACTATTCTTAATACATTTAAAGAATATAATCTAAATTCTTAACAATATTAGTTGTGACAAACTGTTTCTATTTCGTCATTATGATCATCTTGAGAAAATTTTAACTTTCAATTTGACTACTAAATCATTTTTTTAATATTTTATATCTAATATACATTCATTCACACCCTATTTTATATTATCCCAATACTATTAAGACTCAATCTAATATATAATCATTTTTCTTAATAAAATTTACACTTAAAAGACGCAAAAAAACATTAAATATTGCTTATGAATAAATGAGAAAGCTTATTTTTAAGTCATTGAATAAAAGATATAAATTTCCCTCCTAATCGGCTCTTCTTAAAGGTCTTTTAATAAACTTAGACACAGAAAAGGAGTATTTCAGTTTTTCAAGAATTATTTTATAGTAATTTAAAAGAATAAAGCTTGAAATAATCATCTAATATCTTTCTATTCAATTTATACATATTTTATGTTGATTATTCAAGCATATAACTGATTAAAATCCTTTATCAATAAGTTATTTCATTATTTTACCAGTAGAATTATTTTTTAATTTACATCTAATGCTATATTATTTTTATTATTAGCATATTATTATTATTATTACTATTCAACTCTGCTAGGGAGAAGAGAAAACATAAAGTATTTAAATCATATTATCTTTTCATATTAGTTGTAGTTGTTTGCTTCTATTCGATATTCTACAAGCTTGTGTCCTTTTTTACTTTTCATCTCATTACTAATTTTTTATAATGTATTTAAACTCTATTTCAAATGACTATTTACTATGTGTTAATATGTTGCTCTTTATTGATGGTATTTACAATTATATCCTCCTTTATTTAATAGTGATTCATAATTTTTTGGCATCTTACTTAATTTTTCTTTACATTTACTATTGTTTGCCATTTCATTTGATATATTACATTCTTACCATAAATTATATCTATCTCGAATCTTTCTCCTTATTTATGCTATCTCTTCAAAATTTAATACTACAAAAGGCTAACAAAAAGATTCAAAAGTTAATCTGAATTAGTTTTTGGAACTCTCATTATTAATTTCAACGATCTTTTATATAATTAATTAATATGCTTTTAATGAACTTTAACTTAATTAAAATTTAATGCATCCAACAAATATTAGAAATGAGGTCAGATAGATGCATTCCATATATTTATTCTTTCTTTATAACCCTAAATTAGGTTATCCATTTTAAATCTTTGTCTAAGTAATTAATTCTTTATTTCAATTTTATGAAATGATTCTTCATATTTCCTTATCTGTTTATAATTATTTGAGGTATATATATTTGTCAACAATTGATATTCCTTTAATATATTTATTTTTTGTTGATATTATTTTAATTTAATAATTTAACATTTAGCTTTATTCAATACTAAGTTCGATTTTACACTTTCTTAAAATAATCCTTATATAAAAGATATTAGTTATTTGTTCCTGACTTTTTTTCCAAAGTATTCCAAAAAAAATTTAACTAACTTTTATTTCTGATGAGGTCATAAGTTGGGTCATCTGAGAGGCTATTCTCTCTGACCCCACAGTAAGTTGATAGTGTTCTACAATACTCTGGAGTGAATGCTTGACACTCAAAGAGATCAGAAAAAAAAAAAGAAGGTAAGATTTAAGGAATAGCAGAGAGGGCAACTTCTTAAACCCCCCGTTGAGACTAGGGAAGATGTACATTTATCATAATTTTTTACCTTTAATATATTTAATTAGTTCAACAAATTACAATTCAGCTTAAGGGGTTATTCTCCTAGTTGTAGAGAAGAAAAATTTCGTTTTATAGTGAATATGTATGGTTTACTTTTATTCATCTTTTTTTTCAAATTTCTTTAGTAGATTTACTTTTTATTTATTATAAATTATGGGTAATTTATTAATTTAATTGTAAAATTTAACCAGTTGATGTTTTTTTGGTTTATATTAATTAATTTCGTGAAAATCCTCTTGAAGTTAACAATAATTATATAGTTCTGACTCTTAAAAAAGCTGTGTACATGAACACAGTAATTTATAAATGTTAATTATTTGATGTATGTAAAAATTTCAAGTTAGAGAAGATATAATAGTCTCCATAAATCTTAATCCTTTCAATGATATCGTATTTTTTGATGATTAATTAATATTTTCAGTCTTTTATAATATATCAATTGAAAATAATCATCAAAAGGTGATTGGTCCATTACTTTGTGTAGAGTACTTTTTAAAAAACACCCAATCTTATTGTTTTACTTTATCATTCTATTATTAAGTTTTTGTTTTAAATATATTCTTAATGTATCTTTATTCTTATCTTTGTTATAAAAAATATCTTTTGATATTTCTAAACTAATATTACAAAATTATTAATTATTTTGTTAGAACTAATCCAGTTTGTTAATAATAATAACTTAAGTAAATCTATCATATAATATTCTAGATCTTATGAAAAAAGAATGAAAGTTTTATGACATCTCGATATTTATTCGCTACACTAGATTGACCATATATAATAATAATAATTAAAATAAATGTTGTCTAACTGAAATGGAATAAAACTTTGAAAAATAAGAACTTAAAAGTGAAGATGAAGAGTATAATCTGATAAAGAAATAATTAATTTAAATTTTAGATATTGATGGTAATTATAATTGTTGTTTGATTATGATTATAATCATTTTTTCTATAAGTCTTCTAAAAAGCAACTTCCTTTAGATTTGAATAAAGGTTTTAAATCTTATCCTTAATGATTGATGAATTCTCCTTACAATATAAGTGTACCTGATGCTTCTAATAAAGGATTCTAACAAATCCTAAGTATAGTACGATCTGGCTCAACTAAAAAATAATAAATAAAAAATACCATTTGGTAATAATGAACTATTCTAAAGTGGTATTTTAAATTATGCAAGAATATCTCTGTAGTTTTTATCAGAGTATTTAATTTCGTATCCTGTTTTGACATCCCATAGACGGATAGACTAATCATAACTACCAGAAGCTAATGTATTTCCATTAGGAGAGAAACAGACTGAGTAGACAGGACCACTATGACCATCTAATTTGGCTTTTATTATCCTGTTTTGACATC